AAAAAAAAAAAAAAAAAAGAAGAAGAAAAAAAGATTAACTACGGGATCACTCTAGGCCTTTAAGATATGAAGAGAGGTCTGATAGGGGCTTCTCTATGTCTTTCTGGATGGTGGTGTTTTAGATTTACAGTCATTTTAGTAATGAAAGGAAGTCAGACTTTAGATAACATTTACATTGAAGATGACAGAGTAGAGAAAAATCAGGTGGCCAATGACACCACTGTAAATCTAGATCAAACTAACCCATGAAGCCACCTACCCTGGGCCTTCCAATTATACAAGCAAATAAATCTCTCCTGTTTAAACAGAGTTTTGTTAGGGGCAAGAAAACACATCTTAACCATTTAGGTTATTAAGTATGAAATGTCCGATTTCCCTTAAGCACTAAGTTTGATAGTTGATATCTCTGATGCTTCACTTTGACACTTCTTGTTTTATTTTTATTGTGAAGGTACATCCTCAGTCCTTCAAACACACATTTTGGCTTGTGATTATCTTTCACATTTTTTTAAAGCAATTTTTGTGAAACCATGGATAAATCAAAAATTTGTGTTATATTTTAATATGAGTTCCATTGTGGAATCATTGCAGCACAGACAGCTTGACATATCAACAAAGTGTTTGGTAAGGATGTGGCTAATGAACGCATAGTACGGCAATGGTTTAAGAAGTTCTGTTCTAGTGATTTTAGTCTTGAAAAGGAGCCATGTGGGTGACCTAAGACCAAGGTGGATAATGATGAGCTGAAAGCTGCAGTGGAAGCGAATCCATCTCAACCTATGCATGAATTAGCAGCAAGGTTTGATGTTACTATTCCAACAATGTTGAACCATTTGAAACAAATCGGCAAGGTTTAGAAGCTGGATAGATGGGTTTTGCATGAATTAAACAAGTATCAGAAGAGAAATCATCTCAAAACTTGCCTTTCTTTGCTGTCATGACATAAAAGTGAACCATTTCTACAACGTATTGTTACGTGTGATGAAAAATGGATTCTTTTTGACAATCACAAGTGTTCGGCACAATGGTTGGATAAAGATGAAGTGCTGACAGTCCAAAACTGAATATTCACCAAAAAAGCTAATGGTGTCTGTCTGATCGTCTATTGTTGGTATTATTCACTACAGCTTCACGAAACCTGATCAATTACAGCAGATGTCTACTGCAACCAAATGAATGAAATGATGAGGATGCTTGCGATTAAGCAGCCCAGATTGGTCAATAGAGACAAGCCAATCCTCTTGCAAGGCAACACTCAATCACATGCTGCACAAACCACTCTGCTCAAACTATAGAAGCTGGACTTAGAAACTCTCTGTCATCCACCATATTCACTGGACCTTGCACCAACTGACTACAACTTCCTCCAGGCTTTGGACCGCTTCTTACAAGGAAAAATACTCAATTCTCAACAAACTGTGGAAAACACCTTTTGTAATTTTATCACTACTCGCTCTCCAGGCTTCTTCCCTGCTGGCATAAACAAGCTACTGTTAAGATGGCAAAGCTGTGTTGATAGTTTAGGCACATACTTTGATTAACTGTATTGCTTCTTGTTTGAGATACAATAAACTATACTTTTGATTTGAAATCGGACATTTCATATTTAATGACCTAAATAATACAATGTTTATGCCCCAAACTGAGCTGAGGACTGACCACGAAGACAAACAGTCAGGTAAGTGAGATCAGTCACATTGTTCCTAGAACTAGGATGGAGAGGATACAAGGTGATCAAAGGGCATTGAGATGGGAGAAAGGAGTCCTTATCTCGGTGGTGCCAGTTATATCTACCATGCTGACATCACTTGATTTGGATTTCTTTCAAATTTATTTCCAGTTCTGCTGGCTAGAAGAATGACCCAGAAATAAATCATGGATAACATTTCCTGTCCAAGAAGAAAGAAGTTAATTCTGTAGCCAAGTTTATTTCTGAACCTGGAAGACCTTACCAGCATTAGACAAAAGAAAAAGTTTTAGAGGCCCTATTCAGGAGCTAATCTCTCTTCTTTTAAGGGGTATGTATTAATCATAGGATGTTCCATTCCAAAGTGCTGGTTTTAAAACTCTCCATCAATAAGGATCTTATTTCTCAGCACCCTATCTCTGTATGACCAAGGGAGTAAAATACAAATCAACTATTAAGACCTGGAACCAGTTCCTAAAGATTGTAAAATAGATCAGGAAAATAAGACCAACACACATGAAACAAAACTTGGACAGGAGTAAAGAATGATTAAGTTATTGGCTGTTCGTCAATCACCATGAGGTTAACAAGAGTTATAGAATTTAAGGCCATTGAATGTAAAATACATTTAAATGGATTTGTACTATGGGTTATTTTATTACAACCCATCTGTTTCCTTATTTCCTGGTTTTTGTCATACAGGTTGAGTAGCCTTTATCTGAAATGCTTGGGAACAAAAGTGTTTCAGATTTTGGAATTTTGCATTTTGGAATATTTGCATTATTACTTGTCAAATGTGCCTAATCTGAAAATCTGAAATGCTCCAATGAGCATTTCCTCTGAGCATGACTGTTGAGCATCATGTCAGCACTCAAAAAATTTCCGATTTTGGAGCATTTAGGATTTTGGACTTTTGGATTAGGGATGCTCAACCTGTATTTTGTTTTATTTATCCATTTTTTTTCCCAATGAGAAAAAGAAACATCAACTCACATTCTGTACTTGTTCTGGAAGATGGAGCCCATTTCTTTTTCCCATTTTAACTGATTTTTCCAAGTATCGTCTGGCTTCAGGCTTTATCTTTCCCAGATCACAGGTTTCCTGAAATTAAAGAGCGTGACAACCATTTCAGCTGTAACAGTGCATGGGTAAATTATAAACTATGAGGGCCACGGCAAATTTATTCACCATATCTTTTGGGCTATGAAGCACATAGTTGATTATGAAGCAGGCCGTTCTGAAGACCTCATTTCTGTTATGCTTTAGTGAGCTTCTACTCATTTACAACAGAAAAATTAAATAAATAAAAAGCTAACCAGAATTTCCTTGCCTTGCATCAGAATCAAGGGTGCTTGTACCACTTGAAAGTGTGATAATAGAAGCATTTGCATAATCTCATTCTGAGCATTCTTTATGACTGAGTGGTCTTTTTCACAGAACATATTTCTTATCACAAATCACCTGGATTTAATTTTCTATCATTTGCTAACCTGGTTCCACTTGAGAGGCAGGAATAGAAATAATGGGTAAATTCTACAAAAATGCAGAGTGGGACACTTCTGCCAATATACCAAACAGGGACAGCTGGATAAATCCCAGCAAAAGCCTTTCAACACTTCAAAAATGCCTTATTGTCATTTGCCAAGAGAGATCAAGGGACTACAGCTAGCTGCCTATGAACAAGTATCTAGGGAAAATGAGTCAGCACTGCACAAAGAGGAGGAAAGCTGGACAGTAAATTTGAATCTGTATGCAGCAGCACAAACAACACTCATTCAAAAGAACAGAGGGCCCTCGCGGGGAATGGAAAATTCCCCCAGCCATAGCACAGTAATAAAAACACCAGATATTTCTCCAAAACAGGTAGCAGAATACACTTGGCACATCTGGATAGCTGGTCAGTTAGTGGTCCAGACAGATTGGACTGGACAGAATGGACTCCAGACAGATTCAGCAGGTGTAATGGATGCAGGTTGGTTGAGGGCCAATGAGGTACCTCTGTCTCTAGAGCCTTACAGAGTCCCATTGTTTGGACATTCTCTCCATGAAAGACCCGGGCTGTCTATCCCTAAGCATCCCTAATTGTTCCACTAATTACGTCTATAAAAGGATGGTGTTTAGCTTTAGCGACTGCATTTTAGATTGTTGATGCTAGGCTTGTGCTACAATAATTCAGTAATTTTCTACATTTTGTTGCAGCAGGTAAACTGAGTTATATTTTAACTGGGGGTACCACTTAATTCAGCAAACTATATGTCATCTTGCCTACCAATAAATAATTTTGTGTCATAGTATTAACGCACTTGTGCATACATTACTCACAGTTTCCTCTGAGTTTATCCTCAGTGGAGGCAGAGAACAGTTAGACTTCTTTTTCCATAATAACCTCCTTTTGTGTCCCTGGAGAATGTGTAAGTGTGCTGGCATGATTGGAGTTGGAACCCTCTCTAGCTGGTGTTGGTGCATACTGGGATTCCAGCAGCAGGTGCCTGTAATGGGAAGAAACCCAAAATGGCCAGGGAGATAACTGGGCTATGCACTGGTTCCCTCAGGGATGGGCAGCAGTTCATATCGCAGTGTTCATGTGGATGTGATTAACTTGGGTTAATCTGGGCTGGCTTTAATAGCACCAGGAAGTCTCTCCTAAAGTGTGAGGCATGGCAACAGGAGTCTCTAGACAGTATAATACTGCAAATTGTAGGGCTGGGGAGAATCCAGGCAGTAGCTATGTGTAGGGGGGATGGGGAAGGGTCCCTGGTGAGAAAGGCCTGGCAAGAGCTGGGTAAGTCATTAAAAATCCAGGCAGGCAAGATGAGATCCAGAACAGAGGGCCATCCCAGCAGGGAAATAAGCCAGCTGGATGCTTGAGTTCCTGGGCCCCATTTGGCCCTACGCTTAGGACATAGGCTCATCACAAACCTCACCACCAGCTGATATAAGCAGAATTCCTATTCTATGGTTATACTTAATCAGGATGGCCTCTCATATTTGCCATATCTGCATGTAACAAGGCCACTATTTCAGAAAGCCTAGAAGTATATTTGGAATAGTAAACTCAAAATTCATGATCTAGATTAAAATTAAAACTATTTACTCCCCAAATAGGTGATACAGGTACAAACAGGCAGAAGGATATTCTGAAAAAAATCAGCCCTGAATTAGGTCTAATTAAAATATGAGTAATTAACTGTACTGAAATATTTAACTTACTACAAAAATAACATTTAAAATTCTGATTCAATTATAACCAGACTCCCCTTGCCGGTCAGACTCTGAGGCTTCAGGAAATCTCTGGAGGTCTCTGGTAGGAGTAAGGCACTTCTGAAATGTGCTTCTTAAGCACATTCCTGTTCCAGAGCCTATCATAATAATATTCTCCCTTATAATCCCCAGGCAAGGTCAGAATTACCGCCCAAGGATTTTCTAAGAGGGAATCGGCCAACACTTCTAGAATGTTTTGCTATAATTGCACCTTCCTTCCTGAACAAGAATTTCTCCTCTTGAATCTGAACCAGGCCACAGGCCTCTTTGGGTGAAGTTTCTCCTCTTTAAAAGGGGGAAGGCTAAAGTTCTCAGAAGTAATTTTTAAATCTATATGATCTGACAGTAGGAGCCCTTATTTTAATTTCTGTGGTGACAAGATTTTGTTTCCTCCTAATTTCCTCCTGTAACAAAGAGCTGTTATATAAATGTGTATATACACAATACACTCCATCTCTCACAGATATGCTTATATACTCATTTCACAGATTAAAAAAAACTGAGGTTAAATGATCTTTCCAAGATCACACAACTATCTAATGGTAAAAATGGCAAAGAAACAAGTTCTTCAAATTCTTAGTTTAATGCTTTTCCAATGTGCCACACTCCTGTATTACCATCCTGAATTATCATTCTTTAAAATTTCATAGTAAAGAATGAGAAATTTTCTTTATTTACCCTAAATCCTCCCCGCCTTCTGTTCCTGACTTTGGCCTTTTCTTCAAAAGACCTTTGTATTTCTAGTTTCTAAAACATGTAATTAAAAAATTATTTCAGTGGGATTTTCTGTATTGTGCATACTGTGTAAACAAAATAGAAATTACAGTATTATTAGAAGAACTCTGAAGATTAAGATAGTATATTCCTCTGAATATCATTCTAAAAATGAATTCGTGAATTCACTAAGTAATTATAATTGGACAACAGAGTATGTTATTGTAGCCTATTTAAAAAACCAAAATAGAGAAATAACTGTGTTATAATTTGCAGTTTAGTTCCCTTTTCTTCTGTCCCCTCCCTCGCCAAATCCATGACCTTTACTGTTAGGTCTCCATCCTATTCCTGTGAAGAGGACATCATTAGGCAGCTGCCTGCATCCCTGGGCTAGAGAGGGATGCACAAAGGCCTGCTTGCTGACAACTAATTCAACATGCCATCACAAGATTCACTGCTTTTGTGGGAACCATAGTGTGAGGTGGGGCTCCATACTGCATGAAGACACATTTTATTAATAATCGGGGCTAGCTGAGTTCCATTCAACATACATTTACAGAGCTCCTATTTATGCCAGGCACTAAGGAAACAAAGATACATATTCTTGAGGAGCTATAGGTCAGATGGAGAGGAAAAAAAGATATATTGATAGATAATATCAATATCACATAGTGTGTGGAAAAAATAGGTAACTACTTGGACAAGAGAGGCACACCAGAGAGGGGCACCTGGCCAATGGGGAAAACTAAGCCCAGGTAGTTGCCACTTTATGTCTGGATGCCAGGCTTTTAAGACCTTGACAAAGTTACCAATTTTAGCAGTACTGATTATGACCAATGACTAGACTTACAAATTTCAAAATCAAGAAGGCATGGTAAATAAAGGGAATTAATTGTAAATGAATTTTGGATACAGTTTTTTTTGTTCATTTTGTGTTCTTTCTTTCTTTCTTTTTTGGTCACAGTTTTAAGGCACTGGCTTTTATATTTTAATCTGGCACTGGGTCTCCATGGCTGGTCAAATAGGAGAGATCACATAATGCTTAAAATCATCTATACTTAATCCCATGACCTATTCATTTGCACTGTAACATTAAAATTTTCTTGTTTAAATCACTAATGGGCTAAAATGAATTGTCAAGACCAAAGCCTGCAGCTCTGAAAAAATATAAACAATATTACAATAGATCACTGTATTTCTCAAATTTAGCTCGCATGATTCAGCCTCTGTTTCACTAAGAATTCCTCTTGTGCATTTCTTAGCAGGCTGCTGGAATAAAATATGCCTGATTGTTTTGACATGAAGACACTGTACATTTTTCTCAACAAAATGGCTAGAAACAGCAGGTATAAAACCTTCTTTGATCTTTGCTGGCTTTTTAGCCAACAATTGAGCAGCCTTTGTTAGGACTGGCAAATACCAAGACCTGTGGCCATAATTGCTGGTTTTTGGCTCTTGTCCATTTTTTAACTAAAGAGTTAAGGAAATCCTTGTTCACACTGCTTTTTCTTTTTTATTTTGGTGGAATTAAGGATACATTTAATATGTTAAATTTTTATGTAATAATTGATATCTGAAAATGAATGTAACTATATATGTTATGAGGACAAATTAAATCCACCCTTTAACTTATAAAATAGGACATTAACAACACTGTTGCATTTACCTATGCAACAGGTAACCTGTGCAAAAGATAACTACTCTCTTGAATTTTGTGATAGATCATTTTTTCCCGTTTTACCACTTATGTATATACTTAGTTTTGCTTCTTTTTGAACTTTATAAAATGATACCGTGTTGTATTCAGTATTCTGCAATTTCTTTCTTTCACTTTTACTAAGAGATTCAGCCATATTGTTCCATGTTATTTATTTCAATGCTATAAAATAGTCCATTGCATAAATGTACCTCAATTTATTGATTCATTTTCTTGCTGATGGGAATTCGAGTTGTTTCAGTGTTTTGCTATTACAATATTCCTATGAACATTTGTACAATTTTACCTGGCACAAATGCAAAAGTATCTCTAGGTAAACACTGAGATGGGGATGGGGAGAATGTGCTAGGTTGTAGAGAACGTAAGATCCAACTTTAAGTTTTTCTCCAACTTAGTTACTATTATTTTTAATCTTACTAGCTGTGCACAAACATTCCCGTTGATCCACATCTACAAAGATACTTGGTGTCATTGTATTTCTTAATTTTTTCCAGTCTTATAAGTGAAAAATGGTAACTTACCGTAGTGTTTATTTGCATTCCTCTGATTACTAATAAGGTTGAACATCTTTTCATATGTTTAATTGGCGTTTGTACTTCTGAAATATCTGTGTTGTCTGCCCATTTTTCTATTGGGATGTTTCTTTGTTATTGATTATAGTAGTTCTTTATGTATCTTAGAATGCTTTGCTAGTTTAATGTTTTGCAAATTTCATTTCTCAGTATTTGATTTGTCTTTTCACTTTCCCTATAAGTTCTTTATTTTAATGTAATCAAGTTTATTAGACTTAGATTTCATAGTTAGCACTTTTAATGTCTTATTTAAGAAATATATCCTTGGTCAGATGTCATAAAAATATCTTCCTATATAAACTTCTAGATGCTATAGCCTTTTAAGACTTTAATCCATTAGGAATTCTCTTTCAGTTTGGTTGTGAGGAAGAGATTCAATTTTATTTTTTTCCCACATAGATAACTCATGTCCCAGCACTAATTTCCAAAGGCTTATTTTTTGAATTTACCACTAACTAGTTTCTCACTTTAGTCTGATGAATATTTACTGAATGCTTACTTTTTTCCAGGCACTCTGCAGAGGTATAAAATAGAATTAAATATAACACCTCCTCCCTTCCTTTTTTTATTTTTTTTTGAGACAGAGTCTCACTCTGTTGCCCTGGCTAGAGTGAGTGCCATGGCGTCAGCCTAGCTCACAGCAACCTCAAACTCCTGGGCTCAAGCGATCTTACTGCCTCAGCCTCCCAGGTAGCTGGGACTATAGGCATGTGCCACCATGCCCGGCTAATTTTTTCTATATAGTTTTAGTTGTCCAATTAATTTCTTTCTATTTTTAGTAGAGACGGGGTCTCACTCTTGCTCAGGCTGGTCTCGAACTCCTGAGCTCAAACGATCTGCCCGCCTCGGCCTCCCAGAGTGCTGGGATTACAGGCGTGAGCCACCACGCCCGGCCCCTCCTCCCTTCCTTGAATTTTTTTTTGTTTTTTTTTGAGATAGGGTATCTCTCTGTTGCCCCCACTAGAATGCAGTGGGGCATGATCATAGCTCACAGCAACCTCAAACTCCCCAAACTCCTGGGCTCAGGGGATCCTCCTGCCTCAGCCTCCTAAGTAGCTGAGACTACAGGTGTGTGCCACAATGCCCAGCTAATTTTTTCTATTTTTGTATAGACATCGGTCTCACTCCTGCTCAGGCTGGTCTCTAGCACCTGACCTCAAGCGATCCTCCCACCTCAGGCTCTCAAAGTGTTAGGATTACAGGCATGAGCCACTGTCCCTGCCCCCTTCAGGGGTTTAACACTGAGTCTACATTGTTTCTGGCAAGCATTTACCAACCAGTTCTGTGGCTCTTGGAAAGTTACTATTTCTAAGTTTCAGTTTCTTCAATCTCACAAGATTGGTATAAAGTTTAAACCAGATACTCTTGTCTATACAAATGTAAAGTAGTGTTACTAGCCATACATTGGGAGGGAGGGAAAGAGGGAGGAAGGAAGAAAGACCACAGCACACTGGTCAGTCTTATGCTCTACTATAATTTCTTCCATCCATTTAGACAACAAATTATTTATTTTGGAGGTTTTGAAACATGACTACATACTCCCCAGACTGAGATGTGGTATCCCTTGCACCTAGGCTGAGCACAGTGACTGGGCAACTGATATAGTATGGCGTGATGTTATGTGACTTCTAAGACAGGTCATAAAATGCAAAGCAGCTTCTGTGTGGTTTGCTGGAACACTCATGTTGGAGTCCTGAGCTTCATGAAAGAATTACTACGGCTCTGATATTACCATGCTGCCAGGAAGCCCAAATTAATCCAGAGACTACATGGAGATGCCCTGTGCTATGGACTAAATTGTATCCTCTCAAAATTCTTTTGTTGAAACCCTAACCCCAATGTGACTGTATATGCAGATAGGTTTTGGGAGATAATTAAGGTTAAATAAGGTCAGAAGGGTGGAGTCCTAATCTGATAGGACTGTGGCCTTATAAGAAGAAGAGGAGAGTTCTCTCTCTTTCCCCCTTCCCCCAATCTATCTCTCTTTCTCTTTCTCTCTCCATGCACACACACTGAGGAAAGGCCATGTGGAGCAAGGAGGGGGCCATCTGCAAGCCAGGAAGAGCTCTATCAGCAGAACCCAACCATGCTGGCACTCTGATCTCAAACTTCCAGCCTCCAGAACTGTGCAAAAATTAATTTCTGTTGTTTAAGCCACTCAACGTATGATATTTTGTTATGGCAGCCTGATTTAAGAAACCCTGAGATTGAACAAAGAAAGAGAGATGTCTGGTTAGCTCCTACCTGCTTCAATCCCAGCCACCACTGCCTGAAACCACATGTGAGACCCAAAGTCAGAACTGTCCAATTGATTCCTTCCTGAATTCCTGATTCACAGAAACTGTGAGAGAAAAGAAAAGGATTGTTGCTGTTTTCTGGTCACTAAGTTTTGGGGTAATATGTTATGTATCAATAGATGACTGGAACCCTTATTGAGCACAGATTTGCACAAAGAACTATGAAAAGCAAAGTCACATTTCTATTTATTTATTTATTTTTTCTTCTTTTTTTTTGGTCTCCTGTATGTGCAGATGAAGACATTTCTATTTATTAACCCTAATAAATAAAAGTAAAAAATGAAACAGGAGCTAAAATAACATTTTATATCCAAATTTGGATATTATTATATTTGATTACTATCTACACTGGTAGTATCTTGGGAATTTAACATTATTCAGAGCACCCTCATTTTAGTAAAGCATGCTTGAAATTGCTGACTTCATATACATTTAAGAAGATCCTATTTATTCACCTTAATGAAGGTTTTATGTGTTACATCATGGTTGTCCTATTTCACTTACAGTATTACAGAGAAAATAATAAAATACTTGGATTATTTCTAATTTTTCCCTTTAGCTATGAATGGGATGAGGTTTACCATTTATTAAAATGTTCAACTCTGGCAGAAAACTAATACTGATAATTCTAGATTTTTAAAAATATTGCCTAAATAAACATAACTATTTGTCGGGGAAGGTGTTTAAAGGTAACTAAATGTACCTAATAAGCTTCAGTGCAAGAACAAACACAACAGTTATTTTTTATTATTCTGATGTAACCTTAATAGACATGTAGAAGCCCCTAAAAATATTTACATGATAATCCATATGTATGAGAGTAATTATTACATTGTAAATAGGAAAATTATGGGACCAAATGTGACACTATCTTAAATTGTTAAAATAAAGCCCTGAAATAAACCAGCTCTAATAAATACATAAATCTGACGAAGGCATTGGTGTCTAAGAAGTCATTATGGCATGCTAGTCTACTCTACAGGTAGCAATTTGTTCCCAAATTTGTGGCTAAGTGCCAAATCCATATAAAATTTAAAAGTACTATATGACAAGGAAATCTAAAATGACAAACCTTCCATATCTTGGTAATATTCATAAGAATTAGAGAAGGTGGAATAGTAACAAAAATATTATTCCAAATGAGAACTTAAAAATCATGATGAAAACAGGGTTGATTAAAGGAAATTAGAAATTCTAGAAAAAATTCTAGAATATATAAAAAATACAGAGTTAGAAAAAAAATTATATTATTTGAGAATGAAATAAAACTAGAATGCTATAAAGGCCAGGATTCAAATCACTTAGAATAACTGGTCAAAAGGAGAAAAGAGAATAATTTAGCTAGTGAAGAATAATCATAAAGTTATTTTCATTTATATTACTTTTATAGTGCCAAAGATGAACTATTATGAACCATATAGATGATTATCAATTATAGGGTAAAAATGCTTATCTGACATGAGAAAAAAACAGCATGTACATCTTACATGTCTAAATAAAGTCTTGATTACATAATGAGTTACAAATTAAAAAGCTGTTTTATTCAAAATGTTTTATTTCGACTCTTGTCATAATTTGCTAAAAATTTTTGAGATTTTACAGAAAGAAACACACAAAATTAAACAAAAAATGCCTAAGATTATAAAACATTGGTAATTTTCCAAACAAATTGCTGAGGTGTCATGAAAATAAAAATGGAAAAGCAAGGACATAATGAAACTGCTAGGAGACAAATCAACAGTTGTGACAAAAAGATAAAAACACTCAAGACAGACCCATCTAGAATATTCATTATCCATAATTTCTGTGAGTCCTGAAAAATGTAAGGATGACAGACAGGAATGACTGTGGAATACAGATAGCATCAACAGTAAGTCATCAATATTAGGCCAAAATCACAAGATATTTACAGATAAGTCAATTCCATTTGCTTCTAAATGATTTGGTCTAATAAAAACTTGGCAGTATTTTGAAAATTCAAAGAGGATTTTACATTGAACCATCAAGTTCATGATGTTAAAAAGCCTTAGATTCTCAGATGTTCACTCTTCTACACTTGGTCTTTAATTTCAAATGAATGGAATTAGCAACTCAACATAAATCTCAATGATGTAATATAACAGTATATAGTACTATATGATACCTATTATTATAATCACTGGAAACACAGGAAAATTCAAATACTTTTTATTGCTGATCAAAGGTTCTTACTTTTTTGTTGTAGGTTTTTTTTTTCCTTTAAAGGGATTTATAACACCATTTACCTGCAAACGAACAATTCTCTGAAATATATCTCCTCTCATGCTCATCTCAATATCAAAACGAGAAAGTCTTTTGTCTGCTTCTGTACTTGCGGCTCGTACTTCTCTGTCAGAGGATACGTGCTGAGGAAAGTCTAGCATGGTTCTTTCCACTATTGATAGAAAATAAAAACTATTAATACTACAGGACTTGTCCAATCAACATTAAGCCAAATACTTCCTACCTAGATGAATGATTATACCAATATAAGTTTTTCATTTCATACTTTCTGTAAAGGTTCCTAAGGCTACCAGAAAACAGCATCTTGGCTGTTACAGCTGGCATCATTATGAAACCATAAGGATGTGCACTGAGCACTTATCAAAGTACACTGAGGGTGTAATTTATTAACTGGGAATGTAGGAAGATAAGACGTGGTCCCTAAACTGAGGCATCTTACAGTCTGGGATGGGGGAAAATGCACATAAAAAGATAAAGAACAGTACATGATAGAGCATATCAGTTGTGAAATGAATGGGATACTGTCCTAACTCAGAGGCTGCAGCTACCATGGGCGAAGGCTCTAGGTACTCTGTATTGAGAAGGCTGGACCTCAGAGGAGGTAGAAAAGCAGAGAACCCAAGCACGGGACAGGCAGAGACAGAATGGCCAAGAAACACACAGACCAATTTAGCACGAGGGATTTGTTTAGAATAGAACTTTTAAACTTTTTACTACAGACTCCATAGAGAATCTAATCAAAGTTATAGACCCTACCTCAAATGCACACAAGCATATAAACATTAAAAATTCCATATAATTTCAGAGGATTCCCAGAAATCTAAGTGGATACGTCCAGTAAATAGCAAGATACTGGGGATATTCCTGTAAAATGATGGTAATTTAGTCTGCTTTAATCTTCACATATTAAAGTTGGTGCTTGGATTTTTCATACATCTGTATTTTGACCTTAATTGGGCAAAAATATCCGATGTCAGTGAAATAACCAATGCTATAGAACAAAAATGTGTATGGTTTATAGTGATGGCTGTGGCTATGCTGTGACAATAAAAACATTTTAACTTTATTATCTTCAATATATTGAAGTTATTATATATAGGTAAAATTTACACATGTGATATATAGTAGACAGTAGAGCAATCCTTTATGCACCAAGAAATTGTACAGTTAAACAAGCTGCCTTACTCATATCAGTCCTCTTAAAATATTGCTACAAATAAAGCTGTTTACAAACATCTGCCACAAATATTAGAATAAATCCATATGGTATGTTTTTTAAAGATCCAATTACATAATTATGCTTTTAGGATTTAATATATAACTTTATATCTGTTGGTTAAGGGAAGAATAGAACAGAAGATTTAAAATTTAATACATAAAGCACTTATTTAAGTGATATAGTTAATTAACTGTGTAGTTGCAATTTCTGTTTATTAATACTTTTTAAAATTAACTCAAAAAGATATGATGGAGGAATCAAAATGGCTTAAGAACTTAAATGAAATAAAATGTAGGAGACTAAAACTGGAATTAAACAAATAATAATGTTGAAAGCCATTTCCTTCCTTCCTTTGCCACAAAGACCTGGAGCCCGACGTATGCTCTCACTGCCAAACTATAAACAATGCTGATGCCCAGTACCTGACACTAGACAAATGAGGTTTTAACCGCTACTGCTGGAAGCATGATGAACTCTGACAACATGCACAGATAAGAGAAAGTTAGTTTTTAAGAAATCTCTTCCCAAACTCAAAAATTTTTATGACTAACCCATTAAAATAAATTTATGGATGACCAAGAACAAATATCACAAACCTTAAAGTATGTTTAAAAATCTATATTGGAGAAAAAAACAGAATTTAAAGTAATTCTTTTAAAAAGATTTTGTTTGCATTTTCCCCCACTGATTTTTATATCAGTCAAATGCATAAGTTACTACACTGGCAAACCCTCTTGTCCATGGTGACAGAAGAAGATGTGAGCAACTGAACCAAGGACAAAGCACATCCAGGTGGTACATGCACACAAAGTTGCCTGCTGGAAAAGCTCTGCTGAATAGGGACCAACTCCATCCTTTTGATTTTGACTAATGAGACCAAGCAGATCCTTTTATTCAAGAGTTTAAACGCGACTTGTAGCAAGATTTAGTGGCCAGTAAGGAAAGTGAGGCAGTTGGCAGTACGGGCAGAAACTGAAACAAATGCTGAGATATGAGAAAATAGCCAAGTCCTTTTCACAGTAGAACACAGGGTAGGGAACTCTTGGTGATGAAGGTTAGCTGGGGCAAAGAGATCCCCAGGTCACTAGGGCTGTGCTGGACTCTGACAATCTTCCAAATTCCAGAATGTATACAAACGTTTATGATATCCAGTTCTGCAGCTATCTTATGTTCTCTTATCCAGCCTGGCTACACAGATAAGGTTGTTCAGTCATAATTATCCTTCAAAATTATGTCCAACAGGGTGGGGAACCTGTGGCCTTGGGGCTACATGTGTCCTTCTGGATTCTTGAGTGTGGTCTTTTGACTGAATCCAAATTTTACAAATAAATTCTTTTAATAAAGAGATTTGTTCTGTGAAGTTTGGATTTGGTCAAGGGGCTGCACTTGGGGATCTGGAGGGCTGCATGTGGCCTTGAGACCACAGGTTCCCTGCCCACAAGCTGTGGAAAACAGAGAAATGAATAAAGAGGAAAGTAAAAATTAACTGTAAACCAATATAACCCAAAACACTAACCACTGTGATGGTTAAATTTTATGTGCTAACTTGGGGAGTGTTTTTGGTGAGATTAACACTGAAATTGGTTAACCTGCAGTGAAGCAGATTGCCCTCCGTAATGTGGGCGGGCCACATCCAATCAGTTGAGGGCTCAAAGAGAACACAAAGATTGGCCTCCCCCAGCAAGGGAGAATTCTCTAGCAGATTGCCTTCGGACTCCATCTGCACTATTGGCTCTCCTGGGTCTTCAGGCAAACTGGAACGTCAGCTGTCCTGGTGTTGAGCCTGCCAGCCCACACTGCAGATTTTGGACTCACCAGCCTCCAATTCCTTTTAATAAATCATGCGTCAATTCCTTATAATAAATCTCTCTCTTTCCCTCACACATATACATATATATTTACATTTATATACTGACGTGCACACATACACACACATACCCTATTGGTTCTGTTTCTCTGGATAATCCTAACAAAACCATTAATAAAATTTGTTTATTTTCTTTCATCTTTTTGTGTTGTCGTGTTCCCCCATGTCATCAAATGCTGCTTCTAAACCATGAGTTTAATGGTTACACAGTATTATAATGTTTCACAATTTATTTAGCCATTCTATTCGTTGACATTGGGGTTTGTTTCTAAGCCTTTGCTATGAGAAAGAGTACCTATTTATACATAAATTGATACATGAATTTTGCCTATATCTGATTATTTCCTTAGAATAAATGCCTAGATGTGGAATTGTTAGGCTAGGGTATGAACTTCTTAAAAGTTTTGACCTGTGTTGTCAAAATGTTCTCCAGAAAGCAGTGTAACGAGAGTGTACATTTCACAGCACCTTTGCCAACATAATAAAAATTTTAAAATCTTAGGTAATTGAATTCTAAGCAATTAATTAACCATTATGCAAAAATCAATCTCTTGTAAAACTGGAAATGTGAAAAAGCATAAAACGGTTTAAGACATCCATAAAATAAAATACTGATGTGCTTTTGCATCCTACTCACCTATATACTTCACTTCTACATCTGTCAGTGCCTGCAAACAGTTTTCGTAAGTTATTTCCTCGATATCGAGCATTCCAACAGCATCGTACACCTGTTTGGTCTGCACAATGAGTTCCTCAGTTCTTGTTTTAATTTGCTCTGGTGAAAGATCCCATCTTAAAAGATTTCTGCCAGTCGCAGTATAGGAAGACATTGCCTGAAGAGGAGACATCGCTTCTCTTCCTAACGTCATTTTGAGTAAAATCCTGGAACCACCAACTCTACAAAGAATTAGAAAAATAATTAAAAATTAGGGACTTCTGTTGGTCCAAAGTCAGCATACAAATGTGTATTGTAAAATTAATTTTAAATTAAAAAGAAATTTAAAAAACCTGAGCAAATTCTCTCAGGTGAACACATGTACAAAACAAAATGCCTTTGTATTTTTCATTTTTCTTGAATATATGATCCAAACACTGAATTGTTAATATAATTAAATCATATAGAAAAAAAAGTTAGGTATTAGAGATATAATAATTGTCCTTTATAAATTAGACAAGTAATCCTTCTTATTTTAATATTTTTTCCTGGGCTAACTTCTACCTACTATGCACATAGACTCCAAAAAACTCTGCAAGTGTTACAGCTCTTTTAGAATTTGTCTAGCAGGTTTTCCAGTTTTTACCAGAAAATCCTCCATGGGGGGTAAAAAAAAAACTTTGCAGGTTTAGCAAGGAAACATTTAAGACATTCTCTTTTTATCCTGAACACCATTTTTCTAAACCAAAACTTCATATAAATCAAGAATAAAAGTTTGAAGTTGAGGCATGGAAAATAAACTCTGATATAGCTATGGCACTGGGCATTGCCCTAAAAGAAAAAACAATTGTTAAGAATGATACCAATCGGGTCGGGCATGGTGGCTCACGCCTGTAATCCTAGCACTCTGGGAGGCTGAGGCGGGTGGACTGTTTGAGCTCAGGAGTTCAAGATCAGCCTGAGCAAGA